AGATGTCCAAATCTCAGCAGATAAGACTTGAAATCCTGCTGTCTGAAACTCTGCTGTGGTGTGCCTCATAGACATGAATATGTAGACGCCCTATAGTGGAGAGCGTAACAGCGTTGCCGCCATATTGGGTAGGGTCCTCACTCTCCAAGCCCAACTGGAGTCAACGCAGAGTGAGCAACTATGCCCAGCTTATGGTTGCAACAACCGGCATCGATGGAAAACTGATCACGTGGGATTATTATTGACTTTTCTAGCCTACATTAGTTTTTATTATTATTATTTCTGAATATAATTGGTCACTGTGAGTTTTTCATGCAGGCTGAACATGAAAACAGTCTCCTACACCTATCTCCTGCGTTAGCTTCTGATAGAAATTAGACGATGAAACTCTAGGATTAGAAAAGCCTGACAGATCTACGTCACACTGTCACTTAACATTCATGGACTCACCCATCTTGACTTGCAACGGGGAAGGCTGTTGTTGTTTTTAACATCCAAGAAACTCCAGGGCATGTCTTGGCAACTCCACCACACAGCAGAACTTTTCCACGCTTGTGTTATTTGTGGAGATAAAACACCAATGTTGCGAAGCAAACAGTCAGTGGTAGTTGCTGTTGGCCAATCAGAGGAGAGATGTCAGAGTATCAGGAAATAGGATTTCAAACCCTAAAGTACCAGAAGCTACTCTCTCCTCAGGCTGACTTTTACAAAGTCAAGGTCAATTTTATTTATAGAGTGCATTTACAGCAGCAAAGCTACACCCAAAGCGCTGTACAAGGTAAAACAAACGAAGGTACAACAAATCAACAGTAAAAACCTAAAATAAGATGAGCACACAACAGTCACAATTTATAATAAAAACTATTAAAAACTATTAAGATGCTCAAGTCAACCTGCATTAAAAGCCAGATCAAAAAAGTGCGTCTTAAGAAGGGATTTAAAATGCTCTAGACTCTGTGCGGTCCTGATGTTGAGTGGCAGCTTGTTCCACAGTTGGGGACCAACCACTGCGAAAGCTCTGTCGCCGCAAGTCTTGTGTTGGGTTTTTGGAACTGTTAAAAGAGCTTGAGAGCTGGCCCTCATGGTTCTGGCAGGGACGTAAGCGGACAGCAGCTCAGAGATGTAAACTGGGGCCAGGCCATGAAGGGATTTAAAAACAAAAAGTGCAATTTTGAAATGGATCCTGTAAGAGACAGGAAGCCAATGGAGAGAGGCCAGAACCGGGGTTATGTGATCCCGCTTGCTGGTGCCAGTAGGCAAGCGGGCCGCTGCATTTTGGACCAGCTGAAGCCGGTGTAGGGAGGACTGGTCCAGGCCAGAATACAGGGAGTTGCAGTCGTCCAATTGGCAGGACACAAACAGATGTATGTTCCAGGATATTAACAGGAAGGTATGGCTTCACCTTCGCTAACTGCCTTAAATGATAAAAATCTGATTGGACCACTGTACTCACCTTTCTGTAAAGATTAAAAGAACCATCTAAAAACACACCAAGGTTTTTAACACAAGGTTTTAGAAAACCAGAACAAGGACCAAGAGGACTAGCAACGTCATTTAAAAGATTAGGACTGCCAAATAGTAAAATTTCTGTTTTTTGGTTGTTGAGTTTAAGAAAATTATTGAACATCCATTGTTTGATGCTTTTTAAGCACTAAGGCGTGAAACAGGTGCACCAGAGCAAGTCGACATTTCTAGGTCCAAACGTCTTTTGGTAGTTTGTCCTAAAGTAGAAGTGGTAGCAGCCGGCTGTTTCCCCTTCGCTGATATAATTGAATGGAGAACCTCTCACACCAATGGTGTTTTGTTAGTAAATACGCGAGTGTGTAATGAGTGGAGGACCCAAGGATGTGCAATGGTTGGTTTTGGTCCACTACGTATTATTGGTGGAGGTTTTTAAACAAATGCAAGAGAACCCCTTTATTATTATTTTTTTTAATCTTCACAAAATATTTATAGGGATGTCCTGTTCCAATATAAATATCGAAAGTAATTCCATATCGGCTCAAAAGCAGTGTATCTGATTATATTGAACTGCATCAAAAATCTCCGATATTAGCACTCCATTAAGGTTCCCATTTTAGCAACCAATGGTTAAAAAGAATTGTCTTTTTTTTTCATACTTACTGTTATTGGCTCTTGTTCTCCGACTGAGTAATATCTCTTGATCAAACCTTGTATGACAGTATGCATGATTTATGCCGATATCATATCAGATTCATATAGATATCGGTCAGTACTGAAGGCTGCAATATCGGTATCGTATCCGAAGTGAAAAAGTTGTATTGGGACATCCCTAAATATTTATAGCTATACCGTGTAAGAAACTTGTTAAGAGGCATTAAAATAATGTCTTAGGCTAATTTGATTTCGAAATTTTCCATTGCAGCTTAAAATACTATCAGCTTTTGGCAACAACATGTGAATGTGAGCTTTATGAATAACAAGTTAGATATGCATGTAGGAAGAAATTTTATTGGAATAAACAACAGATCAAAACAAGCTGTAAACACAAATCCTGGCACCAGTATAAAGGGGAAAACAGCATGTTTAACATTTGACTGCCTTCCATGAACATTGATCAACACCGGTCGGGTAGAAAACAGGCAGCTTCTGTTATCACTGTGGTAATCGTGGTCTTCTGCAGAGCTCAAATGAGCCTCCACATCAACTTCCCATGACCAGTCTCAGAATCAACCTCTTGTCAACAATCCTCCAAAGGAGGAAAACAACTTTCTGTTCATGTTGTCTCCTCCTTGAATACGTGGCCTCTTCACCTGCTCATGTCACACCCACCAGTAGCATCAAGAACACCCAGGCCACAGATAGGGTTCCCAGTGCTAAACTGGAGCCAGAGCTGGCGTAGCATGGTCTGAGTTTACCCCCAGAGGGGATGAATGGGTGGGCAGGTGGGGTATACCGATGAACCCGGGGTGACACACCTAAACTAAAACCTATAAAAGTTGTATTGTGATTATTTTCATGTTCATGCTTAATAAATACTGCACAGCAACACATTTCTAAGGGGAGCACAGTTGTGACACATCTTTGAGAGGGGTCGTAACTAAACTGTGACCACATTTAAGTCCTGAACGAATCAAAGTCTTTATGATTGCATTTGATGAGGAAATGTCCACAACAGCCAAATTATATTTGAAACTGCCTCATGTTTGACACGAGCCTGCCCAAAATGTACCTACAGTACCAGTCAAGAGTTTGCAAACTGGGACAAGTGTCCAAACCTTTGACTGGTGCAACGTTTTGAATGGCCTGTATTTAATATAACACCTTCTAGTCCTAGAACCCCCCAAGACGCATAACAACACAACAGTCATTCACACCGTGCCACCTCTGAGTTTGATCAGTCAGCTTCTCCTCCTGATATTGGTTTTATTTTGCCAGTGATGCAGGGGTCTAAATGACGCATGTGATGTGAATCGATGCATTCTGCTGGGTTCCTTATAGAGGAAACTTTTACATAATTGGCTTAATAAACTGAACTCACTTGGAATATTTACCTTGTGAAGTGCCCTGATATGTAATGATTTGGCTATAAAATAAACTAAATTTAATTGATGTTGTTTGTCAGGGGCGTGTCCAGGGAGTGGCCTGGGGTAGCACATGCCACCCTTGGAATCTGATTGGCCACCCCAGGTGCCACCACACTAATTTACTTTTAAATAGGCTTTTCATTGTCCACAAAAGGCTTGGGGGTAAAAAAAAAGCATAACCATTGGTGCCACCCATGCACAAAGCTGTGCCTCATCTGGGCCACCCCATTTTAAAAGATCTGGATACGCCACTGTTGTTTGTGTGTTAATCTAGAGGTCATAGTGAGATTGTCCTTCTGTGTGTGTGTGTGTGTGTGTGTGTGTGTGTGTGTGTGTGAGCCATATTTAAAACTGTTCTTTTTTTATGTAAGTGATAATTGTGATAAGAAAAAAATCTACACGTTTTTTTACCAGTGTGGCAGAAAACTGAGTTTCATGTTATAAAATTTGAACCAAACTTTTCTAACTCCACTCCAAATGATCTCAGAACAAAGAACTGGCAAAACACATACCGTCACAGGACGTCAAACATTTACGTTAGGGCGGCGCCAAACACAACATTTCCATTTTTTCACAACATCCTGTTACCTGGCATTCCAATGCTTGCCACCTCACTCAATGGGTGTGTCCGACTCCAGGGTAGGATGCTTACTGGTCTAGCAAGGTCGGGTCCTTGCTAGACCGCTAAGACCGGAACCCAGCGGCTCTGAATTTGGACAGTCTAAATATCGCAGGCAGAGCACGTTGCGCACGCTCGTGTCCATTCAGAGCAGACAAGATAGGAGAGGGGAGGGGGGTGAGTCACCTAGTAGCAAGCCCAGCTTGCTGTGAGTTAGGGTTGGATGAGCGAGCCTGGGGCTGATGAGTGAAAAAAATTATGAATAAACATTCGTGGCTCGACTGAAAAAATTCGGGGCTGAAGCCCCCGTCAAAATCGGCTGGTGACGCGGCTGTGATTTAATTCATGCTTAAAGCTGCCCACATTATATAAATGAATTTAAGAGCCTACAATATACAAATATATTTAAAATGTGTCTAATGAGAAACCCCCTCAGACATAACAAGCATTTTTATAACCTTCTAGGGAATTTGCTGAGCTCCAGTGAGCTTTACTGTAAAGATGATCTCAGCTGAAGAATTAGAGGGGAGCCCGTTTGTTTACCGCCCACTGAGCCGGTCTCATGATTTCTGCGTGACCAGGCTTTGTGTCTGACCTCTGGGCTCGCAGCCTTTTGTTCTCGGAGCGTCGGTGGGCGATGGACGGAGCCTGCAGCGGCCGCACAGAGCCTCCTTTCACCGGCTGCGCATGCTCCAGCGTCTCTTCCGCCGTGGACACGCTCCAGAGCACGTCCCCTAGCGGAAACCACGTGTGCGCCTCTGCCACAGACATTACGACAGGGAGAAACACGCAGGTCCCTGAGGCGCGTTATTACTCAGAGTGATGCTCTCATTAGAATATGACCACAGAGACGCGGACGTTCCGGTGAACGTATAAAACCTCACAGACGGGAGGGTCCTTCATCATTTATCAGTCACTTCTGGACTAAACTGTTGTATTAACCCGGACTGGCGCAGATCCAACACGTAAAAAGGTAAAATAAACTTTTTACTTCCCTGTTCTGTTTCCGAACTTAAGTAGTAATTTTGTGAAAGCTGAAAAACAGATTTTACTCCCTTAATTATTTATTGTGATCTGTGTAATTTTATAGTGATTTAAACATAAATGCAGCCTAATATTTATTAAGAGGTTATGCCACTTTTTTTTAGACATGAAACAGGGTGAGGAAGTGAAGGGAGGAGGAGTTTACTGTTTGGACTTTAAAACGCGTGTGAGCGGTGGATTTGAGGAGCATCCTGGTCCATTAGATGTCATCTGTGGGTTTTAAAAACTTTAATATGTAACACTTCCCTTTACAAACCTCAGACCAATAGAATAAACATAATTTGGTGCTTTTGAAACTTGTTTTCAATGAAACAAACCTAATAAATATTTTGTTTTTTTTTCCCATTATTTTAGGATTCCTTGTCTGATCATGAATGTGTGTGTGTGTATGTAGGTGTTTTGAAGGAACCGGAGAGCTTCAGCTTCATTTCAGGACGGTTCATCTTCATCCCCATCGGCCTCTTTAGAGATCAAGATGCAGCAGCTGGAGGACGAGAGGGTAAACATTGCACTTTTTGACAAATACGCATGCCTTTTACTTACATTTCACCAGTTAGTTATGGTGAAATGTAAATTGTGAAGCAGACCTCCGTGTTTCTGTGCTTTTCCACTCAGGATGAGGAGCAGAGCGTTTCAGGACATGAAAGTTTTATATAAAACGAGAGAGAAAATGAGGCTACTGGGTGACAGGTTTCAACTTGTGAGTTCCATTTCCTGTTTTTGAGTGCATGTTCCTCAGAGGAGTGAAACAAGGAGACCAACAACAGGTTAGATATTTTGAGGAATTTAAAAGGAGGCTAATTTTATTAATCACTCAAAAAAAGTGCAATCTGTCCGAGGTGGGAGAAACCACGAGCTATGCAAACCACGGCTGATGTGTCTTTTGTAAGAAGTTGCTTCATTTGTTACTTCATCAATTCTTAAACCAGAAAAATAAAAAAGTACAAATTAATCTAAAATAAATCCAGTTTATCTATGTAAAAAGGACTTTAATAAAATATGTTTTGAAATTTCACTCCTAATATCCTCAAAAAGTCAATTTACGTAAAAATGACACATTTTCGTTGCGTCAAATGAAATCGGATGCGTATAAATTTGCTCTATAGTGGAATGAGGCGTGTTGGCTTCTGGTTGTAACTACGTGACATGAGTGAAACCTGAAATGCCTGCAGGTCTGCGCCGCCACAAGCCCAAAAGCATGTCGGTACACCCCCCGAGCCAGCAATGTTTCACATGGCCACTCCTTACGTCAAAGCTGCAACTTTGTCCAAACCTAACAGCAGCATCGTGTGTTTCATGCAGCATTTGTAACATTTGCGTCTCATTTTGTAAAGTTCTTTCCTCCGTGTCCATCTGCAGAATCAGAACGTTGCGTTTCCTTCCTACTACGCCAAAGTGTTACCTCTTTGCGACACATTCATGAAGCTGCGACGATGTATCACACCCATGGACGTAATTTTGGGGGGGGGGGGTCAGGGGGGACATGTCCCCCCCCCCCCCCCCCCCCCACACTTTTTCCAAAGTCAAGTTTTGACCCCTGCACTTTTTACCATCCAAAAACAATATTACGCTAAATTAAATTGACACTGGTTGAGCTCTAGGACCAAGTGGAAAACAACTGTTTGTGTTGAAGCCTGTTTCCCATTAGAGCATACTGTAAAGATACCCCCCCACACACACACACCCGTGTCCCCCCACTTCTAAAGTGAAAATTACATCCATGATCACACCAGCTATAGTTGAACACATTTCAGGCTGTAATATTCTGCAGAGAAGAGCCCAGTTCTCAGCTGCAGCTGCATTCGAGCAATTTCTATTATCAGTCCAGCATCATTATTTTCCAAAAGCATCAGGACTTCCTCTTTGTGTCATTCTGAGCCGTTCGCTGCTTTACGATAAGTCAGCAGCCTTCGGACCTTACGCGCTGAAAGCCCATCACTGTCAGAGGAGAACGTTGAGTTCTGTGTTGAGTTAAGAAAACAAATTACTACATGTACAGTAAGAACTGTTAGTTTTAAGAGTCTCTGAGTCAGTTTGTTCTGAATAAACTTTGATGTTTGATTTATTTAATTTGAGCAGATATCTGGTTCTGCAAAGCAGAACGGAGCTGCCTGTGCTCATTTAGGGTCTAAAGAGGTTTTTAATTGATGTGTGGGAGCAAGTTGAGCAAAAACAAAGCAGCAGGTAAAAGGAATTTTATTGAAGGCATGCACATTTTTCATAGTTTTAAATCATTTTCTTGTGCCAGTATGTGCTAAAACGACTCTTTACAGAGTTAATGAAATGTCCCTCAGACTCCCATCACACTCTGTAGTCAAAATGCTGCACTTGCAACTGCAGAGTGGCAGGCAGGCCGCCACCTGTTGTACTTAGAAAATGGAGCTGACATGCCTGACGCTGGAGTCTGCTTCCAGCCTGTTTCCTGCATGTTTTAGATCATGAACACAGCTGATAAGTTTGATTTAGCGATGAACCGCTTCTGTAGACACAAATGAAGGCCGAGAAGACATTTGAACGGTTAGATTAATGTGTTAAAAAGACAAACGAACAACGAGGCAATACGTTTCACTTTTGATTTCACTAATAAAACACTAGGGGGGGCTAAAAGCAGGAAAAACGGCCTTGTATTCATAAAGTAACTCTGAACAGTTTCCTGCTCCTTCACTCTACTGGTTGAAAGCGGAATTAAAACTACAACAATCCTGCGACAGCCTGTTGTAGCTAGTGCCAACAACAAGCTAACACTGACATGAGCCACCTAATCCTAAAATAATCCAGGAAGTAAAAAGATCTACACTGTTGGACAAAAAATATTATTCGTTAAAAGTCCAGTAGCAACAAAGCCAGGTCATCATCGTTTCGTAATTTTGACGATATTCATTCAGGTTTTAGCTGTTTGCTTCTCCAAAGACATTTCTCTTTTACTTTTACTTCCAGGCTTTGCCATGAGGCCAACAAAAAGCAAATTTCTTCTTTTTCTTCTTGTGCTTTTTTTCAACAATTGGCAAACTGAAATTGCTAACCTCTAGCATAACAGCTAACAGCAATCAAGCTGTTAAAGAGCACGCCCTAGGACACCTACCCACTTCACAAAACTATCTAGTTAGGTTTCTAATCAGCAGAACTGTGACAAACATAATACTGGTCAAGTTACTAACTCAGCAATCACTGAGATCAATGTTAAAGCACTGGCTTAAAGTTTACAACACTATCTAGTGTTGATTATACAGGCAGTAATTTACTTTTTATATTTCTCCTTTGGTATCAGATATTTGTCTTGTGAGTCAAGCAGGACGTTGCTACAGCAACCATAGTTGAAATTTCACTACTTAGCAAACCACGTTACCAGTTTCTGTCCAGCGTATAATCCTGGTTTTATGAGCTGAGGCCACTTTAATTCCTGAACATTCACAACAGCACTTGTTTTTTTTTCTCCTGGTACCTTTAGCTCATTATCTGAGAAATACCTCCAAGCTGCAGGTCATTGAGCTCATGCAGCGTGGTAACGCCTGATCAGAGCCTGAGTGCTGACCGCTGCTGCAGAAAGCCTCGTTGTGTGTAATGTTCCAGTGTGATTGTGAACAAGCAGAGCTTTGTGGAGCCAGAACCAGAACACATCCACCATTCAAACCCAGAGAGGGACGTACATGAGCCCCATCTGCTTGTTGCAGCAACTCATCATAACGTTTTTCTGTCTCAACAGCCCAGAAAGAGGGTGACCCCCTACCTGCTCTACTGTGTGTCTACAGCTGTCATCGGCTCTCTGCAGTTTGGCTACAACACCGGAGTCATCAATGCACCTGAGCAGGTGTGATCATGTTGTCACAAACCTGGAAAAATCAGGAAGAGTTTAGTTTTTAGTGTCATCAAAGAATTAAATCTATTAAAATGTGATTATTCCCAGCGATGGTGGCTTTTGCATGTACTTCTGTATGTTTTTTCATCATGAATATAGTAGTTGTCAGACTCCTGGTAGCCTTGAAAGCTTTACTGCCCCCGTATGGAAGTCATTTATTACATGTTCCTTCAGTGTTAACAGTCTTCTTTCTGTTTTATTTGACAGAAATTGCGAGAGTTCTTCCAGAATGTATACCTGGAGCGGTATGGAAGTCCGCTAACCCCCGAAGCCACCACCCTAATGTGGAGCTTTGCTGTAGCCATCTTCAGCGTGGGGGGCATGGTCGGGTCCTTCTCAGTTGGGAGTTTGGTCAACAGATTTGGCAGGTGGGAAGATGTGTCTGAAATGCTGGAAAAGTCACCAAATCACCTTTCTCCAGTTGCCAAAGTCAACTTGGACTAATGTTTTTCTTGCAGGCGAAAGTCGATGCTGATCTCCAACATCCTGGCTGTGTTGGGCGGTGGTCTAATGGGACTTTCCTCTTTGAGTCGATCTTTTGAAATGGTGGTCATTGGCCGGCTGATCATCGGCCTGTTCTGCGGCCTGTGCACGGGCCTGACACCCATGTATGTGGGTGAGATCTCTCCCACCGCGCTCCGAGGAGCCTTCGGCACCCTGCACCAGCTGGGAGTCGTTATTGGCATCCTGGTGGCTCAGGTAAACTCAGACCGTGTACGCATGTAGCCAGGGTTTCCACAAAATGAAGATATTTTTCTGTGATTTGGCTGGTCATCCACACAAAGGTGAAGACATACAGCACCAAAATGTCAGCATCGGTATTGACATAAATGTTTGGTTTCGTAACTCCACTGGAACCCCTTACCGTGCAACCTGTGTTTAAACAAGCTCAATTACTGCTCTATGCAGACCACAGGCCACGGACAACGCTAAGGATTGTTTTTATCTAATCACCTGTGACAAAAACCATCGGGCTCCCATTGATTTCTTCTTTACATTTGTGCTTTAGATCTTTGGTCTGGAGTCTCTGCTGGGATCCAGTAACCTGTGGCCTCTGCTGCTCGCTCTCACCATCCTCCCTGCCGTCCTCCAGACCATCATGCTTCCTTTCTGCCCTGAAAGTCCTCGATACCTCCTCATCGTCCTGAAACAGGAGGAAGAGGCCAGGAAAGGTGTGTTATAACTCAGCTCAACATCCTGCCAACACTAGATGGCCACATCATTCTCTAAAAATGTTGCAATTTCTTTAGAAATTGCTATTGGATTGCTCAAAACGCTTGTTCCTTCTCTCTTTCTGACTGTTGAAAAATTTAAGGCTGGATCCATCAAAACGTGTGCAAACAGAGCAGAGATGAGAGACACTGCTGGTTATTAAATGTCAATCAGCTGTGAGTTCAGGTTGCCATGGTGATGTAAGGTGCAGAAATTTTATGGGATTCACTTTGAACAATTGTCTCAAAGATAATCTCAAACTGGTGCCATTTTCAGAAAATATGCAGCTTATATTTGATGTGGTTACCACACACACCAGTGTGACGTTTGTGCTTCTGGTCGACAGAAAGGCTAAAAATACCTACGTGGGATTAGAAATGGACTTAAAACATACAAGAAGTAAACATTTCTAATATCTCAATCATGTTGGAAAGAAAGTTCAAATGAAACAGATTTCCTTCACAGCCGGCTGGCTGGTTGTCAGTTTTCTATTTTTCAAAAGGCCAAAGAGGGACCTATAGTCTTTGTTTACAATCTGTGAGTCTGCAGGGTTGCCAGGTTGTTGCTGGAAAATGCTGCTGCACCAGCAAAATTAATTCAACACCGGCAAAATACAGCAGTGTTTTGTGAAACGCCCAAAGCTGGGTCCACACTGGCGGTATCTGTGGCACGAAACATCGCTGCTTCAAATAGAATCTAAAATAGCCTATAGGGTTGATCCAAACTGGCCGCGGCGTGGAACATTTTAGGTGTGTTCCAGAAGCAGCTTGCTATGCCGCGTCACGCTGCTAAAGATAGGAATGGTTCTCTTTTTGTCGCAAGCTGCTTCTGGGATGCATCGATTTCCACAGTTAGCATTCAGTAGCTCGACAGGAAGTGACAGACGGACCTATACGCGTGACCTGACAACTTATTTACTACCAGTATCTTTCAAGAAGTGCAACAGTGTGCTTTTCGTGGTTTTAATCCTGACGGTGGAGAGGAACATTATAAAGGACATCAGATGTGATGTCCTTAGTCTGTTTTTGATTTAATAGCGTAAACAAACCGTGACCTTTGAAGTCTTGAGGAATTTTGTGATCTCAGAAGTCTAGCAAAGAGGATGGCAGAGGTGCCACTCCACAGCTGAGACTTCCCTGGTGTAGGCTAACGCGCTGCGAAGCATGCAAGTAAATGGCTTCGCTACCGTTCCACACTGTTGATGTCTCCAGTGTGGACCCGGCGGAAGCTAGTAACAGGAGCAGCCCAGAAGTTAACTCTTGTACTCGTAGGAAGTCACAACATTTTTTTTTTACTTTAATATCAAGGTAAAACCTGCAAGAGGCTAACAACTTTAATGGTAATTTTGAAGCAAATAGTCGGCTTTAAAAAATCTCATGCTAGTTTTTCCATTGCCAACAACTCAAAATTACAGTAACATGTATTTATCTACTGTATCAAGTTACTGTGTATGACTCATCTTCACTCATCATCAGAATCTTTTGGCGCTGAGCCGTAAATGGCGACAGCCATGAGGCTCAAAGAACGGGAGCGAGAAAGTGACCTTTTGTTTAGAAAAATGGGCTGCAGTACCCACATTTGACCACATAATGTCATTCTTACTTCATTTTACATAATGCACCTTTAAATGAAAGAATAGAACAAGTTCTGCATGTTGTTAAAATAAAGACAGAAGTGAAAGCAGTGCATTCTTTTGTAGGTTATAGAAAGTAATTTCATTTTCACCTTGTCTCTAGCAAAAATCAAAGTTCCACAAATTCCAGAAAAACATTTTCTCTGGAATTTTCACGTATCCAATGAAAAAGTCACTCCAATTTTCTCCCAAACAAGCACTTTTGAACATTTTTATTCAACTGTATTCAGTAAAACTTTTTTATAGCAATAACATTTTGTGACATCATGACTGAACACTAATCCCACCAGTAGAACGTAATCTAATCTCACCATGTGTTTGATTACAATGACGACATTTGACATGCGCTGACTTTCTCTTTCTACCCATTATTCTTCCTCCTGCAGCTCTGGTGCGTCTGCACGGCCGTGAAGATGTAAGCGACGATATTCAGGAGATGAAGGAGGAAGGGGTGAAGATGGCCACGGAAAAGAAAGCAACCGTGCTCGAACTCTTCCGCTCACCAGTCTATCGCCAGCCGATCATTATCGCCATCGTCCTGCAGCTGTCCCAGCAGCTGTCTGGCATCAACGCTGTGAGTGTCCATCATTCTTCCATAAATCAGCAGCACCGTGGAGCTAACGGGATCAGCGTGGATCCCGGGAACATTCGTTAAACTCAAACATTTAGAGATGTTTCTGACATGATGAGAAGCTTCCGGACTTAAGGCTCAATTTAAGTGAAAGAGATGAAAACAAACACAGTGGGATTCATGAAAAGCAGAACGTAAACCAGGCTGCTACTGTTGCATCTGACCTGACGATCACGGTGCAGCCAAGAGGTTGAAACATCGACAAAAGTCCAACAATTTGCCTTCCTGACCTCCATCTTTTCCCTGCATGCAGCTAATATCATTTCCCATAATCCAGCTCCAGTAAATTTCCACATAAAACAACTTGTAAAGCTACACTTAGCAATTTTACTTGAAACAAAAATCAAATAAAAGTATAAAAGTTAAATTAGCTAAAACATTTTGTATTTTTATGGTATTGTAAAGGATTTGAACTTTACTTTGTGCAGAATTTGGAGATAGATCTAAATTTGTGTGTTTTTTCAGGTATTTTATTATTCTACTGGCATCTTTAAAACCGCGGGTGTGACTCAACCCATCTACGCCACCATCGGAGCTGGAGTGGTCAACACTGTGTTCACCGTGGTCTCCGTGAGTTTCTGAGTCCTGAATCCGAGACGGACTTTTCTGTCTCCGGGTCAATAATCACTTTGACTCTTGGTTCTGCAGCTGTTCCTTGTTGAAAGAGCGGGACGGAGGACGCTGCACCTGATCGGACTGGCGGGAATGGCTGTCAGCGCCCTCGTCATGACCATCTCCCTGTCTTTAGTGGTGATTGGACGTTTGTCATTCACTTCCAGTGAGGATATTGTTTAAAAAGAAAACCTAACCCAGCTGATTTCTTTATGCAGAAAACCAATGAGTCTCTGAGCTACTTGGCGATAGTGGCCGTGTTCGCCTTCGTCGCCAGTTTCGAGATGGGTCCTGGTCCGATCCCCTGGTTCATCGTAGCTGAACTCTTCTCTCAGGGACCCAGGCCTGCAGCTATGGCGGTCGCTGGCTGCTCCAACTGGACCGCCAACTTTTTGGTGGGGCTGGGATTCCCAAGACTGGAGGTACAGTCAAACGAAACCGCTACCCAAATGATCCTGCGCAACTTTTGATTTGTTTCATTACAACTTTTTCTCTTCATCTCAGGAACTCTGTGGTCCATATGTCTTCCTCATCTTTATGGTCCTCCTCATCCTGTTCTTCATCTTCACCTACCTGAAAGTCCCAGAAACCAAGGGTCTGACCTTTGACCAAATTACAGATGGATTTGCAAACAAAGCGGTCCAGTCCTCAGGGCCTGATGCGGTGATTGTCAGCTCACAAACGGGCTCAGAACCTGTTCCCCTGTCCCCTACAGAAAAAGTTCCCATGGTAGATTATCCTCCAGAAATACAATGAATGAAAGACTTTTAAAAGAAAACAAAAAGACAGAAAACCTTGTTTCTCACAGACGCTGCAGAACAGCAGGATGTGTTTAGGACTCAGAGTCTGTCTTTGTGCCTTTGTGCTTTTTTATTAAGTATTTTTTAAACGTCTCCCAATTTTAGCTGCATAAAAACAGATTCCAGAAATCCAAGTCAAACTTGACTGTACTTAATGTTCGAGGACATTTTCAGAGCTGGAACTCGCTGCATTGAGCCACTTAAGAGGATCAACATAAGTTCACGTTTTCAGCTGCCCTCAGTGGTCAAAGGTTGTCGGCTTTAGGGGTTTAATGTATTGAGGTCAAGCCTGAAAATCCGGTTTTGGGTCCTGGTTGTTTGACCCAAAAAAAAAAAAAAAAAGACATGTGTGCCTTAAAACAGCTTTAGCGAATATACAGAACAAGCTAGGTTTCCACATCCAAACGTGGAACAACAAAAGACGTTTAGACGTAGAAGACAGCAACAAAACAAAAACAAAAACAAAAACACCACAAAGTAACGACTGTGTTTTTCTCTTTGGGACTCAGTTTGACCCCCCCAAAAAATGACCTGTCTGCCTTAAAACTGCTTTAGCGAATATACAGAACAAGCTAGGTTTCCACATTCAGACGTAGAACAACAAAAGACAGACGTAGAAGACAGCAAAAACAAAAAAAAAAAAAAAAACAACAACAACAAAACACCATGAAGTCACGACTGTTTTTCTCTTTGGGACTCTGGTAGTTTGACCCCCCAAAAAAGATCTGTGTGCCTTAAAACTGCTTTAGCGAATATACAGAACAAGCTTGGTTTACACATCCAAACGTAGAACAACAAAAGATGTTCGGACATAGAAAACGGCAAAAAGAAAACAAAGTTTCTGTCCGTGACTTCAAATGGTGTTTTTTCTTTTTTTTGCCCTAAAGCTGCTTTAGTGAATTTGCAGAATAAGCTAGGTTTCTACCTCCAAATGTGGAATACAGCAAAAGAAAAAAACATAATAAGTCACGGATGTCCGTGACTTATTATGGTGTTTTTCCTTTTGGGACTCTGGTAGTTTGTCCTAAATTTTAAGTAGTTGCAGCCAGCTGTACGGAAGTGCGGCGATTCGGCTTTAGCTCCGAAAGCAATTGTTGGCGGAGGTTTTTAGACAAATGTGAAAATTCAGTAATTTTTTTCATTATTTTTAATCTCCACAATTTATTTATATTATTTTTATATTATGTTGCTAAGAGGCATGAAAATAAATCTTAGGCTAATGTGTTTACCAAATTAGCCATTGTAGCTCTCACGCCAAAAGTACTTTGTCTTAAATTTCCAGAAAAATCTAAAAGCCTTAGTTATTGACTGAAATTTGTTCTCCAGGAAGTCGAAAATGTCTTTATTTTTTTGGATTTGGCTGTTTATACTGATGAAGTAGTAGAACAACAGCTTCTTCACCAGAACAAGATAAAAAAAATCTGTAGTTATAAATATAATTTAACTATGAAATAAGTAATTAAATGCATTCATCACTCTGAATTCCTTCCAGCGTCCGCTTTACCATTAAAAGTCGCATCAATGGTCAGAAAAATAACTCATAATCTATAAAACAGTGTTTAAAATATTTTTAAAAATGTGTTCTCGTGTCTGCTGTTGACTGAACGCACATCCTGCTTTAACTAAGACGTGGCATCAACTAGAAACACTAAATAAACAGTATTTATTTCAGATGCACAAGTGTAATTAAGAATAATTGTAATTATTATATTATAGATTATGTATATATATTAAAGTTATCAGCTGTTTTTATGTCCTGAAGGTGTTTGATAAGGTGTCTGACTAGCGTCTAATGACTGCACTGAATGTATTTCTCTTTTTCGTGGCTCTGCACAGTTGTTAATGCAACGCTGCTTCAACAATGTTCACACTCCTAGTATGTACATGTTTTCACTTTCAGTGCCTTTTTTGTGTGAATAAAAAGAAGGAAAGTTATGCTGAGAGTGTGTGATGGTCAGCTGATCCGAGTGGTAAAATCATGCACCTGTATGTTAAAAGAAAGCGTGACGCTAATGATGCTCCTGTTTAATCTTTTTCGTGCACAGAGCCAGATGCGGAAGAGGTTTGCTATCATGACATTTTAATGCAGCTTCTGCACTGTAAAACTTTGTGGTTATTTATGACACGTGGTATCTTCATTTTCTTTTTCTGTTTTTGGCATGGCAGCAAAATCATCAATTAGCTGAGTGGAGCAGAGCAATGTGAGGTTTCACAGCCACAAACGCCAAAGCAGGGCACACTCGAACCAAAGAAAGAGCAGTATTTTATAGAATCTGCTGAACTGTTGCACATGCACAAATCTATCTTTCTAGTCCGTCTTCAGTCTCACATTGCACCATTTAGGGGGTATATTTTTTGTTCTTTTTTCATGATGGATGACATCTGAGTGTGCATATCCTTCACTGAGACTTTTCCTCAGTTTCCTTCTGAAGAAATGCAAAATTATTCAAAGTTTTTGGAGAGCTGAGAATTTTGGAGTTAGCCGTCATCTTCATGGATGTTTTTCCAACTCTTTTTCAAAATGGATTAAACAAAACAAAATACATATTTTAAAGTCGTACTTTGCAATTTTTTCATATTTTAATTCATTTTCTTGAGCCAGTATGTGCTAACATGGTCCTACAGGGTTAATGAAATGTACACTGTAGTGTAAAGCGCTTTGGAGTCCTTACTCTGAGAGGCGCTATACAAGTGCGGGTCATTTATCATTAACTTAGATCCTCACTGCCTACTGTGGCCAGAATACCACACATATAACTCCATAGTATTGGTCTGGTCTCTGTTGGACTTAGAAAAGTGGAGCTGAAATAATTGGCACTGCAGTCTGCTTCCAGCACGTTTCCTACATGTTTTAGATCAAGAAGACAGCTGATTTGTTTGGTTTAGTGATGAATCGCTCCTGTAGAAAATAACGAAGACTTAGAAGACATTCAGCAGTTAGATTAAGGTGTTAAAAATGCAAGTGCACAGCGAGGTCAAGCGTTTTACTTTTGGTTTCACTAACCTAACACTAGGGGGAGCTAAAAGTAAACCAAAAAGGCAAAGTGTCCTTTTGAGGCTGTTTTCAGTCGTGTATTTGAGTATTTCATGTAGCCTATTGCACAGTCAGGTTGTATCCAAAAATAAAGTGTAAAGAAACAAAGGGACTGTGAAATAGGTAATACAAATATGGTACGAATGTTTCATTGAGAGGACTACATTTTCTAAAATCTGCTTCAGGAAGGTTTCAGAAAAAGAAAACCGAGAAGCAAATAAGCACAGAAATGTAAAATCTAGAGAGGTTCCAGAAACTTTGTGTGTGTTTTTCGTTTCTCCCAGAGGAAGTCAAAAGGAAGAGGAGATAACAGAAAGTGGTCAAAAACCACCAAACCTCAATCTGAGAGTCAGTTGCATTTAACATGGTGACCTGAAATTACTGACCAAGATGGCTATTTGGGTGTTTTCACACTGGAACAAGGAACGAAGAGCAACAGGAAAATACAGAAACGAGTGAAAACATACTAGAGTATTCCTTCATGAGTTCGTGTTTAAAGATTCTTAGAAATAAAAAAGCATGTTTACAAAAAGAACAGTTGAAATTCCTGTTTGTGCCTTCAGTACTTCAGCCCTTTGGGAGCGTTTGGGAAGAGACCTCGAGACACACACACACACACACACACACACACACACACACACACACACACACACACACACACACACACACACACACACACACACACACACACACACACAGCTGGCTTGGGAATGGGGTCACCTATCTATGTCAAACCAACACACTGCGTCTCTCTGGGAGAGGCCGCCTCAGTCCGACAGATCACCGGGAAGTAGAGCATGAAAGCACAACACCCTGCAGTACTGCAGGCTCTCCAGTGAGGGGCGTGCACACACCAGAAGATGTGTGTGTGTGTGTGTGTGTGGGGGGGGGGGGGGGGGGGGGGGGGGGGGTTGAGAGGTGAGGAGTGTGTCTGAGAGGAGAGAAAATGGAGGGTGGGGGGTTGCTGTGGTAGGGGGACCACATCAGAATCAGAATAGGTGTATTGCCATTGTCAGTGAACAAACAATTCACAAACTAGGAACTTGCTTCGGTACTAATGTGTTACATATAACATGAATAATAAGATTAAAAATAGAATAAAATAGAATAAAAAACTAGAATAAAACTTTCAGTGATAAAAAATGGCAGGTAATGGTAGCATGGCCGATAACGTGACGTTGTGTCGAGTACAGAAGACGCGCATGGTTGTGTGTTTATAATCTGTCCACAAGTCTAACGGCAGATGGAAAGAAGCTGTTCTTATGGCGGGAGGTTCTGGTCCGGAAGGTGGAGATCATCCCTGGAAGGTGTCTGATTTATACTTTGGTGTTTCAAGTTGGAAGTCAAACGGGAATTGAGAGAAGTTTGGGGCTCTCACGTGCCACAGCTTGAATCAGGTGAAACGTCCAGAACTGTGAACTGTGAGGGACGCCGTGGTCCTCAGTGGGGACTGGGCGGTCTTGAACGCCTCACGGATGTTTGAAAGACCAGACAAACTTCTCTTCATCACTTCAGTCTTCTTTGTGATCTCTTCATCTCCTCCTGTCTCAGTGACAGCAGTGTTGATCTACTACTCTTCCTCTGGAGCATTCTCATCGAGTGTGCTGCTCTGTAAATATTTCTCCTCTTTCCCTCAGCCATTCATCTAACTGCCCTCCCTCCCCATCTCCTCTTCCTCCCTCTTTATAGAAAAAGGAGCATGCAGACTCCACCTCCGCCCTCTCTCTCTCTATTGCTCTCCCTCCCTCTCTCTTACCCCCTCTGCCTCCTCCTGCTCTGTCACACGCTCCATCTTCCTCTGTCTCTCTTTTTTCATGATCTCTCCCTTCCCTCGCTGTCTGTCTGTCAGTGTCACTCTGTAGTGGAGATGTGGAGTGTCTTTCTGTCTCTCTGCCTGTTTCTGCAGCCCTACTCAGCTGAGGAAGGTAAGAGCTGAACTTTAGATGTGGGTGCGTGCGTGTGTGTGTGTGTGTGTGTGTGTGTGTGTGTGTGTGTGTGTGTGTGTGTGTGTGTGTGTGTGTTGTAGACTTGCTTCATCATAACTTCTAGGATTTAATAAGTCTAATCATGTGCAAAACAAAACAGGTGCATGCGTAACCTGCAGCTTGGGACCCCCATTGTCAGACAGCTCTATGTGTGTATGTGTGTGTGTGTGTGTGTGTGTGTGTGTGTGTCTTCATTGCATCTGTGCATATGCATACTTGAAAGCAGCAGCTAGTCAGTCTGGAATGAAAGTGCCAGGTGCGTGTCGGCTCCTAAAAAGCTCCTGCAACAAAAGAAAATGGAAATCAGGCATGAGGACAATTAAATAATAAGTTGCATAACCCATTTGTTCTTTGCCTTTGGGCACGGTGACTCCCCCACCCCCTCCACCCCCCGTGTCACTCATGATCTCACGGATGTGACAGCCAGAGACCCCTGCCCCCTCCAGGACGCTTAGCGGTGCCCTGCTTTTGGTTCACCACAATGGAGCATTTCTCCTCCTCGTTGTTGTTGAGCCTCACAGGTGTGCTCACTAAATGGAAACATTATAGTTGAAGGTGCAGGAATGTGTGTGTGTGTGTGTGTGTGTGTGTGTGTGTGTGTGTGTGTGTGTGTGTGTGTGTGTGTGTTTGAAATACATGATGGATAGTTAAGTGAGACTCAGTCAATACAGTTGATTGTCAGGACAGAGTGATTCAAGAAGACTGTGATGATTCAGTGAATGTAGTCATATAGAGTAGACACAGAGAGAGAGAGAGAGAGAGAGAGAGAGAGAGAGAGAGAGAGAGAGAGAGAGAGACTGTGTGTGTGTGTATGTGAGTCTGTCTATACACTTAATCTCATCATAAACACGACAGAGTGTGTCAGCACGCTTTCTCAAAGAGTGTGTTGGAAAGAACTGCACCTGTTCACACTCATCTCTGGTGTGTGTGTGTGTGTGTGGTGTGTGTTTCTGAGTGTGCGTGCGTGCCTGTAATAATCTATAACAGGGTATATGTCGGACTCCCTCTGCAGATCCGAGCTGTGTTTGGAACAGATGGCTTGGACTTAGTTGAGACAGAATACCAGTGAAGGGGAGAGGCTGCACCGTATTACTGGCCCACTGACTCTGTTTGTATAACAGAAATAATACAGTATTAACCCAGTAGCATGGATGGGCTTGCACACACACACACACACACACACACACACACACACACACACACACACACACACACACACCAAAACGGTTCAGTGATATCATTAAGGCCAGAGCATCAAGTGTTTAGATCCAAATCAGCGATTATCTGACTTTATGGGTGTGTGTGAATTTTTCTCTTTGCTGTTCTTCATTAAATCATTAATTACAAGCGATGAACTTGAATTGACGTGACACTTGATTTGTGTCTCATATAAGTAACTGTTGATGCGTTGTTAGTGCGAAACCACATGACTAGTCTCCTAATTGTTTGATGCATGAGGAGAGTGTGTGTTCACACGGCACATTAAAGGGGAGGGCTCGCAGGGCAGGCACACCTGATGCCCCTCTGGTGCATCCCTTCATGATACGAAAGCGAGTCTATAAATAAACCCTGGTGTCATCCCTAGAACTTAATTTGTGTCTTAAATTGATGCTAATTAATTGTCGTAGTTATAGGAACTAGATTCCTGAAGAGCCTCTGTTTGGAGAAATATAGTTTACATCAGGCAGGACTGATGAGCTAACTGCTAGGATGGCCAGTCCAGTTAATGGTGACCATCACTTTCACTTTTAGCAGTTAGTTTTCTGCAGCTCTTGACAGGCCTTAATCAGGGGTGGACTGGGACCAAAATTCGGCCCTGGCATTTTTACGAATTGTCTGCCCTCCCCATTGGGAGAGTGGTGGGGGTGGGGGTGTTGCCACCCGCGGACTCGTCTCTAGGCCGAATGTGAGATCTAATATGGACTGCACTGATATGGACTGAGACTGTTAAATTACAAGCAGGGCCAGACAGCTGCCACCCGGAGCCGTGGCCTTCCAGATCTGCTCATTCTCCACGGGCGGAGATCAGCTGGATATTAGCTACATGCTAACATTGTAAAACAACTCCTACGTCATCGCTCTACCGCGTTTGTCTTGCTAAAAATGCCTGGAAAAACTCTGTTAGCTTCAGGTTTCCATGTAGCTAATGTTCTGCAGATCACCAACCGTGGAGGAGTGTCGGCCCAAGCTGGGCAAGCGGCCAGAATGCCAGATAGGCCAGTCCACCCCTGGCCTTAATGTAATAAACACTTTTTATTCAAGAGTTCAACTTTGCACCTGTTTCCAGTGGAAGTGCTTCAGACGTGAATCTGCAGCGACAACGTTCCATGCAGCAAGGTCACAAAATAACAGCAGAATTGCCAGATCATGCATGAGGTCACCAGTTCACGCAATAATAAGCAAGGAGAAAGACAGCAGCACATATCCCAAAAAAACTTTTCTGTCCTGTTTACGTCTACGAAGGCGTCACAGGAAATTACGTATTTTTTAAAAGTTAAGAAACAAAATCAGAGTGTGCCTTTTATTTTGAAAGCTGCCGGATGTTTTATCCTGCTTTTGTGTTAAACTTCCTGTCTTGTCTTATGAACTGAGGCACATTTAGCAGGGTGATGTGTCCCTGTGCTTCTGGGACACGCCGCATTTCAGCCAGTGGAAAGAAGCCCACTAAAACCCCTTCATCAACACAATCTCATCTGATTATATTTAAAGAGCAAGTCACCCCCAAATCTACTTTTTTATGCTGATAAATGATATAAATGAGTGTCTAATCGTGCTGAAGACACATCTAGTCAATAATTAAGCACTTTAGTGTATTTTAGTTAAAATTTAAATATTCTGCCTAAAACTGTCAGTGTTGCGCCGTCGTCAGGTAAAAACTCTGTACTGCTTTCAAATTTAAATCTGCCACCGCTATTGGCTAAGAGGTACAGCAGGGGTGGATTTAGGACTGAAGAAGATCCAGGGCTTAACACACACACACACGCACGTGCGCTCGCACACACACACACGTGACACGCACTAGTCAACATCATATATATTTGTCTTGTACCACATAATTTTTAATCTGAAGCTACATAATAAGCATTTTCAGGGCAGAATATTGTTCCTGTTAGTGTTTAGTGTGAAATGATAGTAAATATTCCCTTTCTTTCTCCATCAACTTTACCTGATAGTAAGCTAACTTTAGGCAAACCAGCAGCACAACAAGTATTTTCTAATAAGACTCACAAACCTGAGTCAACACCAGTCTCATCAACGCTGGGGTTCTGTCACGGTACATTTCGTCTAAAAAACGTCCTTATGTCCATCTTCACTCATGCGTTTCAGGCAGAGACTGTAGAAGAAACCAGGCACTGTAGAAGAAGCTGGCTGCTGAAGGGCTTCTTCTTCAGTGGTGGAGGATCAGGCAGGCTGTATACAAACTACTGCTAGCTGCTCCCTCTCTGTTGGACTTTGGTACTGCATGTTACTTCCACGTTTGCGATCCGGGGCTTTTCATAAAACATTCGGGGCTTGAGCCCAAGTAGCCGGACCTAACGCCGCCCCTGAGGTACACTATGATGGTAGCTGGTACATCGTGATGTCACAATGTTGTTGTGATCCTGTGTGTGTATTTGTTAGCGGCTCCACCCTCTCGGTCTGCCAGGCAACAGCATTTGTTGCATTTTTCATACATTAAGTGGGAGTGGAGTTAGACTCTGGTAGGGGGTGACTTGCCCTTTGACTCATTCACTGCCAGCCATTTCCTGATCTGGAAAGCCTTTCAATGCCAGCGTTTTTCAGCGTTTTCACTGTTTTTTTTAAGAGTCACAGAACGTTGTGCTCTATGATGATGTCAACGCCAAAGTGACTAAAGCAAAGAGGAGACTCACCTCTTACATCAGGAAGATCAGAGCGTTTCGAGCCTTACCCGTTCTTTCATAATCCGCTGTCGAATTGTGATCGGCAGAAGCTTTTCTGGTTCGCGCCTCACTTTTTTTACAGCAGGGGCCCAAAACGATCTCCTAACACATGGATTTTCTGCTTCCTGATGAAGATCGACTTTAGAGCTGGGATGTTTGTTCTCACAGTGCGGGGGCTCGCTCCGACGCCCACACGGTAAAAAAGTGCAAATGACAAATTAAGTCGTCAACGGCAGTGAATGAGTTAAATAATGTAGAAAACATAGATGGGTTAAAATAATATTCATTGAAATTTTATAGACTAGGTTCACTGAAAAACTGTTTTTTACTTGTTATTTTAGAAACATAATCAGTCACTCAAAGTTAATCATGAACGCTAAGCATCAGAAAGTCTTCTACACCTATTTCCTGCATTAGCGCTGATAGAAAATAGACTGGGATTAGAAAAGCCACTCAAATCTGCGTCACACTGTAAGCTAGCATGCATGGACTCACCCATCTTGACTCGTGACGAGGAAGGCTGCTGTTGGTTTAGTGTTCAGGTAGGAGCTGAGAACGCCTCGGCTAGCAGAAGCTAACTGTTAGCATTAGCAGCTCCACAACACGGCTGAACTCCTTCAGGCTTGTGGTTTTTGAGGAGATCAAACATCAACATTGCAGATCAAACGGAGTCAGTTTCTCAATGCCAAGGAACCTTGCCTTGATGTCTTGGCCCCGCCCTGGTTGCCTATGAGATACGTCATCGCAAGCGGCCAAGAGGTGTTCGAATGTTCATGTTCTACCAAGGCGTGTGTTCTCCGTTTGTTAGCCGTTTAGCTAGCTCAGCAATGATACACGGGAGGTGTCTTGTATCCTAGCCTTGGTCAAAAATTACCCACAATACACCACGGTATTTTCTAAAGGATGGCGGATCAGAAGCTGGCAGCTACTTCGGGGACAATTTTCAAGTTTAAAAGTAAGTCAGCTAATTAAAAATGTTATTTTTTAGATCCAAAGACGTTATCTATTGTTGTTTAGTTGCTTATTAGTTGCAGCTTC